TTTGGGTTTTGCAGTCTTGCTTCTCAACAGTTCAACTGTTGGGAGGTTATGAACAGCCAGAAAAGCATTGACGGCACCAGCATCCAAGAATCTAAGGTGTTCTCATACATTCATCAAGTTCATGTGTACACCGGTGAGTGACGATCCAGCAGAACTATGCTGAAACTACAGTAGTTGTTTCCATGCTCCTTTTCGGCTCCCAGTAGTTCGGAGGCCAATGTCTTGGGGTGCTCAACATATTTTCAATAACAACCTTCAGTCTCACACATGTTGCAGCAAAGTTTGCATTTGACTTGACATGAACGAAAACTGTTGTAGGTCATTGATGCACATTTCCCAGACAATACAGCTTGAACACCCACATAATTTGCATGATCCAATCAATTTTCTTGCATCAGTATGTCGGCGTATGAATGGTTGTCTCTATCAATTAAGATTTATCAACCAGATCCAAGATCTGTCATGATCCATCATGGTTTTCCAATGATTGCTCTCCAGCTGGACTTGTTTCGTGCCCAGTGCCACCAGCCCTCACATCCACGATACGAAGATCGATTAAAAGAGACTTGCCTGATCTCCAGCGGCCGGCCCAGCGGCGGGAGTTTCTTGGTTGAAGAAATCAGTCTTTGTAAAGCGGGTAGGCCGGAGTCGTAGGAAGTATATAGATGAAGTTGAAAGTTGCTAATTAGCAAGTTTAAGTAGCTTAAGCAGCTAGACCGACAGGAAACTACTAGCAGTTTGGATGCAAGAACTGAGGTTTCTTCAAGGAAGCTCCTAAAGCAGGCGAACTGTCCTTAAAAGACAAAATTTATTTGGTTCCTAGATTTTGTTGGAAGCTCTATTTTGTTTGCCGCTCTTTGTTGGTTTTCAGGATCACACTAGGGTTGGCAGGTCATCACGAAAAAGTCACTAGTCCATTGCTTGAGGTTCCCTATGGCGAATCCTCCTCGAAGGATTTCTGAGGACATATTTATGATATAAATTTTTCCAACCCCGTCGGCAGATACAAGCTGTTTATAGCCTGACCATGCCTGACCCTATTTGGGGTCCATGGATCTATAGAGTCAGTTGCATTGTTGGGTTTTATCGGGCTTCGCAGGAACATCATCCATTTGTGAGGGTTAGTGCGGAAAACCTACCACGGTGCACGGGAATCCTGGGAAGTGTTCGGTTCATCAATCAAAATGTTGCCTGTTCTTGTTTTTCAATACAGGCTTTTTTGCCTCAAACTTTTGGAAGCTTTTCTTATACTGCAGAGGTGTCAGGTGTTGCGTCCGTTTCCAGTGCTCATGTCCTGACAAAGGGGAATGAAGAACTTTTCTAATTATATAGGTGGAATTGTCGTTGAAGCTAAATGTGCCATCGAAAGGCCTTTGTGCATGTGTAGCCAGTAGCGAATAGCGAGTTCTATTTGTCCTTCTTTCGACGCAAGAAGGGACTGGTGCATTCCAAATTCGCCCTCCCAACGCGCTTGGCTCACATCCCAATCGGTTCATATTTGATGTGAGAAACGTTGTGGGACGTGAGGCCCCTCTAAACTCCAGCGTTTACTTGTTTTGGGAACCATTGCTTGTCTATAACTTCCCCTGACTCCACCGAATACATCAACTTGAAGTGGCTATCACTGGTAGCACATGATATCATCCCAATGTTGATTGCTTCAGACGTCAATGCATTTTATATACATCCACACCATGCTCACCGAGAGACTAGTTTTACCTGTCGGACCTTGCATTTGTTCCTCATTCATTCTGTGTAGGATTGAAGACAGCTTGTCTCAGCTCGACTGCTGAGGCTCATGGCCAGCCCGTGCTAAGTGTGCAAAGCGTGCTAAGTGCTTGGCGCAGGTGGCAGAGGCATAGCCGGGCTTTCGCATCAGGGTGTTTTGGCTGCTTGGCTCCCGATGTCATGGGGGTGCGAGCCCAAGGCTCTGGAGGATTCCATCAAGCAAATCATACATACATACATCCATTCATCCATCCATACATAAATACATAATTCGATACATTCATACATACATACTTTTTGTTTGTAGCCCTCGACCTGTGAACATCCTCTTTTGCGGCATTCCCTGTAGGGCAAGAAACTGAGTGCCTAGTCGGGGGACTAAATACGAAAAGGAAGGAAGAGCCAAGGCCAATTGTTTGGATATCTCCATGCTTAGTCATATAAGGATACTGTACATGATTTATTTGGATGCAATTGGAAACCATATGTTGCGGAAACTCAAGCTTTTCTGGAAGGATCAGGATTTCTGCGCTCCGCACAGCCAAACACCGCAGCATTTCCCTCATACCACCTTGGCCGTTGTTAGCTTCTTCCTGTGGCGATGCTTCGTCTGCTGGCGGTCTGGGTGGCGGTCACGAGTGTGTTGGCTTTGGATGATGAGTGTGAGGCAGGGTGGACGGCTCCATTTTGTTTTGCATATTGTTTGAGAATGATGTATTTTATGCAAAAAAGTTGAACCTTCAACAAACCTCCAACATATTGGTAGTCATCATTTGTAAGGGACTGGGAGACCTCCAAGCACCCTTCGACATCAAGGCCTGCACTGCTCTGAACCATGGCACCCAAAACAGTGGATTGGCACTGGGACCGAGGTGGTAGTCCGGATCTCTTGCGCATCCCTATTTGGTTGTAGAGCCGGAACATTGCACTTTTGGAAGATGACATTCCAGTTGTTTGCCATGGAGTCTCGAACCACACTGCTCACTCATGTATGTAACTGTAATCTATTGTGTCGTGTTTTATTCGTCAGTCGCTAATGTGAAATGAGAGGATCAGCAGGCTTTATTTAAATTTATGTTGTCTAGATTCTATGAGGATCTTGCTTGCAATTGTCTCAGGTGCCGACTGGGGTCCACAACCATTGAAATAAATCCCTTAATGATGGTCCATTGACCGATGCACCGTGTATCCCCGAGCCCACTAGCTCGCTGGTAACAACCGGTTCCAAAGACAAATCACTGGAAATGATGGGTCCAGGCATACAGTGGGACTCGTGATGGAATGTGATGGGAGGGTCCCAATGGAAAGTGATGGACAGAAGGACACCACAGAAGGACACTCCTGGTTCTGGGGGTCTACTTCTTGGTACCTCGACAGAGCAAACCTCCAGTTGTCGATTCTGTGTATCAATGCGTCCATTAAAGTCATTTCTATGACCCTTGACCCCCATGCGAATCAATACTCGGACGCTTTCGGACATGTCCCACAGGCGAAACGGTGAGACAAACCGCCACGGCCTCGCAAAACCCTGTGAGTTCACGATGGGCCTGTTGCCGACGAATCGTCAGATCAGGTCTCAGCCAAACCAGGGTTCGAAGGCACCACCACAGCAGGCAAACAAATCAAAACGCCCAAATGACACAGCCATGCAAATCAATAAGTCACCGGACATTCCAATTGGTCCTTTGTATACTTCCTGTGAAGAAATCACTGCTGCCATCCAGCACCTTGCAAGGGGGCATCGTCAGGTGGGTTCGGACTGTGCACTGAAACTGGTGCAGCGCCAGGCCAGCCACTTGGCGAGGGCGAGTGGATGATCCAAAGACCTTTGCCGATCAGAGAATGTATGAACAAGCCCGTGGTAATGACCCTGTCAACTGGTTGGCTACGATGTATAGAGTATACCGGCTTGCATTTGATTTTGCTTCGTGTCCATCAAGTTTTCGACTCAAACCACAGGCAGGTGCTGGCTGTGCCCAAGCAAGGTCTATATATGTGCCCACGAGGTGCGATCTGGGTGGCTTTAACCTGGGGTCATTCGCTTCCTATGAAAACAGTCAAATCTCAGATGAGTGGGGTGCTAATTGAACGCTACCAGCTATTTCTGCCCTTTCAGCCGCACAGCTCAGCTGAGGTAAAATGAAGGAGTATCAGAGCAGCATCTGGGGTTATGGCTATGAAACCAGCATTGAAGGACGCCCTTCCACGGGTCACTAGACACCTTGTCGATGCGACAGAGCGCTACAATGAGTGCGTGGGTAAACGGTGTTTCCAACTAGTAATGAACGAACTTCATGCAGCTTCTCATTCATGCACAGTGGGATCCACAATGTCAAAAGTGTCTCCTGAGAGCTCTGTAGATGTCCCGGAGTCCCAAATGACCAAAGAACAGCAGCTCATTCTTCCAGGAATCAGCCGTTCAGAATGCCCAAGTGATGCCACCTACCTACCAGAGGAGAGCAAGTGCGTTGTGCCAGGTCGGAGCTGAGCGGGGCTGAGCGGGGCGGTTGATGGGATTGAATGATCAAAAATATCAAATGATTTCCTTTTGAGGTTGCTCTAAGCCATGGCTTCGGCCCACCCAGATGCCAAACTGGATCCTGTCTTGAGATGTGAACTATTTGGGCCATACGGTCTTTGGGCCAAACATATATAACTTAAGTCATGATATTGAGCGGTTGCGTTGCGCGGTTGCTTTGGCCAGGTACTTGGAGGGAATCTGGTGCCGAGAGCAGAGGTGAGTGTCACGGCGGGATCTTCGTGCCAAGCCGAAAACTCTGCTACCGGCGAGAGACCTTCCAGGACCCTCCTCGCTGAGCGCTGCAGGCAGACTGGGGTCAGAGGACTTGAAGCCATGGAAGCCAGTCAGCAGTTTGGATGGAGACGGCCAGAAGAGCCTAAAAAGAAAGGGCTTGCTGCACCTTAACGTGGCAAAGGGGTGGTGTAGTGTCGGGGTTCAGAAAGAGTTTAAACTCTATGCGAATATCTGCTATAGATATCTAATAGATATACTGTAACATGTGCGTATGGTGCATAAATCATATGCATATACTGTATACTGTATACATATATCAAAATCGCAACCGGGCGGTTCCTACCGCCAGCGATCGGGCGCGCCGCCCCATTTTCCGCTCATGGATGCTTGATCCGAATGGCGTTCCCTGTGAACGAACGGTGCTCGAGCTCATGCCTTGCAATTTAACACTGCTTATATTTTCTATATTAGCTGGACAGATATCGACAAGGCAGCTTGCACGAACATGGCCTTTCTCTTAGGCCTTGAACACTCGGCGAGTGTTTGTGCCGGGAATCAATCCTCCCATGGTGGGATCATGCTGCTTGCTGACATTTTCAGCACATACGATATACTTGGCAAGATCGCCAAGCTCTCCGGTTGCTGAAGCACGACGAGAGTGAATCCACTTGACATAGCTAAGGCAATCATCGGACTTTGAAGCCACAAGATCGGCATAGCTCATTCCCTTGCCTTTGAACTTTCCAAACATGATCTCGGTGCTTCCCCACTGTGACAAGCTTTGAATGCCTTCAGGAAACATGGCGGAGATGTCATCTCCAGGCTTGTCAGGAAAGGGTGATGGCAACATCTCCTTCACATAGCCGCTACCCAACGGACTCTCGTCCGACGGAAAGCGTTGCAGTGACTTCTGAACACTCCTTTTGGCAACTGGCAGCTGATCATCGTGAAGACGCTTTGAGGAATCATTCATAGTTCCAACAAGCTCGAGAGGGCCTTTCGGAGGAGAGCCTGCATTTGGGCAGCATCGGTCGAGGTCCAAGACATGTCGATCAGGGTGGTTCCTGATATGTCTCTTCAGAGCACTGCACCTCGAGAAAAAGCTGCGGTGACGCACAAACATATGGCCAAGTGATATGCAAAGGTGAAAACGACAAAAACTTGCACTATACAGGATGGCAAAAACGGCAAAAACTGAGTGAGATGCACTTCACGCTTCCTAATGACGGTCGAATACTCTCTACCCTATTGGACTATTGACCCAAACATTAGTTCCCAGCGTTGTATCCATCACTCATTTTGAGTCTGGGGCATGTCCTCGCAGGCCTGGTTCCTAGACATCATTGAGTGACGTCTCTGCTGAGCAAGAACGTGTTCTTCAGGAGAGATCTGATAACTACCATTTCTCATACAAGCTCTAAGAAGATCTACGGGATCTAACTTGTCTTTCGTCAGAGCGTCGGCCAACATGCGATTGGTGGGTAACCATCTAATGAAAGCTTGCATGCGGCGCAGGGATTCCCTTATGATCACAATATCTATACTGGTCCTACGGTCTTCTACGGCTGTGGGTGATGACGGTGAAATCAAGTGATCATAGAGAGACTTGCAATCCGTGGCGAGAACAGGTGGTCTTTTTGCAAGACGATTCAAGAACTCCCGGGGCTCAAAGCCACCATCAAGAGCTTCGCTCAAAATGAGATTCAGCCACTCCACCGTTCCCGATGCCGTGGACAGAGCTTGACTTTCTCCGGACAGCGTAGAGCTAACAGCTCGAGGCAATTTGTAGCTTTTCCAACACGCTGGAGTCCAGTGAGAGATCTGTCCATCGTTCAGGGCTTTGTTGACAAAAGCCAAAATGTACCCAGCTTGTGTGTGGGTACCGCGATTGGCAAATGCAGCGTCAGAATAACAGCATACACGCAACTCAGCAGGAGGTATGGGATGAAATTGAATCTTCAAGTCCTTGTGCTGCTTGATTCGACGGATGGCATTGTTAGCCTCTCTCAAGTGTTGTATTGTCGGTTTGGGAAATGCTTGCTGACTGACACTTGTTTGTACAGCTACATCGGGTCGTGATTGGGACGTGATCCAATTCAAACTGCCATTTATGGCCCTCAGCATGCGAGTTTGTTGCTCATTCAACTCCTGATGGTTGTCAGCCCCCTTTGGAATGAATGCTGGTCAGATGCCTTCAGCAAATGTTTGTTGGGACATACTAATGGCTTTGCTCTTGGGATCTTGAGTATAGAAGGCACCATAGAACTCTCCAGATTGTACTCTCCACTTACGGTAAGGAAAGCGCTGTTTGAGGTCCTTTACTGCCTTTTCGAAGGTGCTTCCCGAACCTCCCAGAGCCGTATCGTCGACGTGCACGCCCATCACACCAACCAAACGGTCATGCTCTCGCAAGAAGTAGAGGCAGGAATCAAAAAGAGACCTTTGCCAACCGAAGGATAAGGCGGCTGCGTCGAAAGCCCTGTGCCATGCAGATGGAGCGTCATTCTGTCCGTAGACGTTACCAACCACCTCGAGAACAGCTTCGGTTCAACCCCAGGGATACCCCCTTGAGGTTGTCGGGCAAAAAGGGGTCGGAAACGTTCAGGCAGAGGGCCAGCCTCCAGGAATGCGCCTTTTATATCCCCTAACTGCAAATCCCATTGGAATGAACTAATCAGTTGCATTAGAATCATCCGTCCCATTTGACTTAGAGTAGGACTTTGCAGGAGGCCCTCATCCAACTTACGATCTAAATCGGGGTCCAAATGGCCTTGTAAGCACCAGCGGCTTTTGATGCGGAACGAACTAGGGTCACTGGTGTTGATGTGAAGGTTTTCCTCTAGAGGCTTACGAACGATGACAAATCGGCTTCCCATGAACCGCTCTGGATACTTGGACTTCAGCCAAGCCGCTTTCTTGCCTGTGTGAACCTTGATGGCGCCCTTTTCGATGAGTGTTGTCCACTCCACAAGCTTAGATTCATCAACCATTTGTTGAATTAGGGGTTCATTTCCAACAGCTGGGACTTCCTTGGAAAGTTTCTTCTGCGTGTACGCTGCAATCAAGGTCTCCACACAGTGGGTACTATCCCAGATGCTCATAAGCTTGCGACAGTCCTGTACTGACAACACTTCTTCGACATTGGACACTACGGAGAGGGACTCATCCTCGCTGGCCAGACGTGGTTTAGTCGGCGGCGGTTCGTCCTCTTTTGGCCGCTACCCACTAGCTTCATGAGTATCCTGGTCAGGGTTCCAGTTGGGGTGATTCTCACTGACCGGTGCAGTTGACACATGCTCAGCAATCAAGCGGGGAACTACTTCTTTCATCAGATCAATGAAGTCATCTTGAGCATCGGTGTGGGCCGGTACATGCAGGGCTGCAGGACCACTTTTCATGTGGATTCGCGAACGAGTGCGCACAGGACCGTACGAAGCTCCTGACTCCCGATCTAGTGAGGAAGATGTTCGTTTGGGTTCTGACTGTTCAGACTCGGGTGTCTCAGGAGCATTGTCGGTGTCCATGGTTTGATGCTCACTCGCATGTGGCAGTTCAGGAGTGCTTTCAACAGGAGCCGGAACATCAGGTACAGCTTCAGAGGACATATCCTGTTGTTCTGAAGATTGTTCTGGTGGGTAGTGACCTGGCACCAGATCCACGAAGTTCTGACTACGAAAAGTTCCTCCTTCGATCATGTCACGAATTCCCAGAAGCTCGGTTTGAGGGGTCTGAACTAGTGCTCTTTCTTCACCAGTAGCTGGTCGCAGTTGTTCAGGCGCACAACGAAAGATGTGCTTGCGATGAGCAATGATATAATTGCGACCTACCAACCCGATCACTACCGCAGTCCCATACCACCGACCTCCCAACAGAACTCCTTGACCGGCCTGAAACTTTTGGTGCCGCCAGTAAGCTACTAAGGCTCCAGGCTCAAACTGTTGGTGCAATCGAGGTCTCGAAGCCAGGGCTCGGCGGAGTGATGTGCTGTCTTGCATCTCAATCACCGCTCGGCGTGCGGACAGGTGTATGGCCTGTGTCTTGGCCAGCGTTTCCTCTGACAAGCTGGCCGTGGCAGGTACCACATGTAGTGGTTCGTCGAGGAGGTCAGTCGGTACCCTGGGATTTTGACCGGAGACATGTTGATGGGGTGTGTAGCCATAATTCTGAATCAAATGATTCTTCACATGTGCATGTACCACACATTCTTCCCAATCTTCCTTGGTTTCGGGGAGATGTTCAGCTAGGATCTTGGTCAAAATTCGTGAGAACCAACCACCTTGGACCTCAGTCCGGCCGAGTTGCCAGTGTGCTTCGCCTGCAATCTGTCGCACTTCTGTCCCTTGAAGGTCGAGATGATTTTGAAGGGCTTCTCCCATGTTTGTACGAGCTTGATCAATCACAAGAGCTTTGGGTGGACCGAAAGGACGGATCCAATGCTCGGTGAACAACTGTCGAATCAAGGCGGTCGCTTCCGTTTGGAAAAAGGGTATCATCATCTGATAACAACTGCCATGACAAACAATGTTTAAGGCCTTGACTTTTTGATTTGCATGCCAACCGGGGAGATTCTTCACATCAAGTCCAACCACTTCATTGAACCCTGGGACTCGACCGGTCTTGGCTGGAAGTGCAACGTGTGGACGGATCTGATTCTTGCATATGTCGCACTCAAACTGACGAGCCAGAGTGATGGCCTTTTCACTGGCATTGGCGTGTTTCAAAATCCGGACCAAATCATGCGCAGGAGGATGTCCTAGGTTACGATGCAAACTATCCAACACTTTACAAATATCAGCCTCTGACTTGTCGGCTTGAAGGTCATTCCGCGACATCAAGACCTCTTGGCATTGACTCTCTGTACAAGGTGCACACTGGACCAAACTGGCGGCTGTCGACTGTCGAAAGGCAGGAATGGTATTGAGTGTTGCGTGAACAAACTGCGGAGTATACTGTCCAGCAAAGGTACTCACCTGTCCTACACCAGGGGCAGAACCAGCTATCTCTTGGTGACAAGAGTGCTTAGGATGCGTTGGACCAGGACATTGACGTGCCAGGCATTTCATGTCTTCATGACTCACCAACAAGTGAGTAGCCTTTTTGAGAAGTTTCGACTGGCCTGGTAAGCGGAGTCCATACCTACACATGTGACACAACAACAATTCATGATCCTTGACTAGGGCTTGAACTTCCGGATACGACCACAGATTTGAACCTTGTGGGTGTTCGAAGATGGCTTTACCTCCTAATGAGACTTGTTGCTTGAACAGCTTGCAACAAAACCGAATGTACATGCGGCTCTGAGCTATTCGTCGGGCTCTCTCCGAGGCTTCCATGTAGATGGAGTTCAGTCGAAACCAGCCACCCTCGTCCGCGCAGGGCGGACACAGAACTAGCAACTTAGGAGGCGTTTGCGCCAGCTCACTCGTCACCCGATTCCTATCGGCGACACGACGGAAGTCAAAACCATTCACCAAATCACATGACCTACCAGAGAAACCCATTTGGTGAACTAAAGAGCAAAATCTGGGAGGCGAAAAGACTTCGGCGACCATGAAATGTTTGCCATCAACTTTCGAGGGCACAAACGACTCAGTGGTTGAGGACACTTCCTTAGTCCTGGCCTCCAATTGTCGTAGATGATGCACTGGCAAGGTCTCAATTGTCGATGTCTCTTCCTGAGGCAAGAAGTGATATTCAGTCTGGCAACGCCACACTGACGAAGGCAGTGCACGCCGATAGAAACTCTTTCCCCGTTGGGGTTGGATTTGCTCATCAAACAACACTTCATGCGTGTCCATGTCAGTGACGATACGACGACGAACGGATGACCACCTGGGACCTTGCTTTCCAATGGCTGGGATGTGAGATGAAAATGCATCAACACGACTCCATTGCGACAACTTCGGATGCTCTGGGCCCGGGACCTGATCTTCTACTGGAGTGGGCTCACATGCTTCGGAAGGCGAAATGGCTGCAGGTGTTGAACTGGGCTGCTCGGACAACTCAGCAGGAGCTGAAAGCATGATTTCTGAGAAGGAATCACTGGTCTCAGCAGGGGATCCCATCAGATCCACGGTGTACTGTCCAGCTTGGTTCATCGAAAGGGGAACCACTGTACGACTGTCAAAGACTGTCAGCTCGTTGGTCTCGAAGTTGATCACCGCCTTCAGTGTTTTTAAGGCACTGCGAGAAATCAACAACGGAGCCTGCCCTTGTACAATGGCTGCTTTGATTGTTCCCTTGCAACCACCCAAGATGACTGGGACTTTGATGGCCTGCTTTGAAGTCTCCTGTTGGCCACTGCCATATTTAAAGTGATTCACTTCATCAAAAGGCATGGGAGGTGTAGTCCGATGTGTCTTCCACAATTCCATGAACTCTGCCAATGTATCAGCTCCAATGATTGAGCGACCGCAGCCTGAGTCCAGGACGCCAAATCCTGGGGAACTGACGAGCAGCTGTTCAGATTCCGTTGAGAAGGTACGTGCTTGTCGCTCACGAAGGAGGTGAAGGGACAACCAAGGGGTGGTTTGACAATCCACCAAGGCAACAAAGGTCTCTTCCACGACCATGGCAGCAGCATTTTCCTTGCCCTTGACAGGAAGGCTTTTGCTCTTCCCTGAACCTTTTCCAGCGGCTTTGCATTCACGAGCCCAGTGTCCAACAGCTCCGCACTTGTTGCACTTAACGCGGCGCTTCAGCTCTTCAATTTCCACCTTGAACGAACGGCGGACATCTTGGGCCTGCTTGAACTTGCGAGCACGCTGCAACTGTCCCATCTCCTTACGACGTTCACGCCAGCTCACTGCAAGGGCCTCTGCCACATCAGGTTCGTCAAACGCTTCTTCTGGCTCATCGCCTGTGACTTGGTGTTCGGCGATGAACTGTTCGAACTCGAGCAACTCTTCATCCTCAGGATCAATATTGTCGTCAGCAACACTGGTGGCATCCTCAATCAATGAAACACCAGCTGCACGACGTTTGCTGACAACATACTCTGGATATACTGATCTCATAGATCGACCGATGTCCTCCCGTTTGAGGCTTCCCAACGACCGGGCTAGAATCACAGCCTTCTGCTCGCTTAAAAGGCCAGAACGATGTAAAATCAGCCAGCCTCTTGCCTCCTCCGGGAAGTTGACATTGACTTTGCGTTGGCAGCGGTCGAAGAGCTCAGTGGCTCGGGAAATCCATGTCTTGAGGTTTTCCCCTTCAGCAGCTTGCATCGAAAAGATGGCCTGGAGCACCTCAGACATCTCATCGGAGGCGTCCTTCTGAGGAAATCTCTGATCCAAAGAACTTTCTCTCCTTCTTTCTTCTGATAGGTGGCAGGATCTAAATGCTCCACACATTCCAGAGCTTTTCCAGCAAGCAACGTGTATACATACGCTCCTCGGGCAGTTTCGGGCACCTTATCTGACAGAGTGAGCAGCTTGTTGGTGACCCAAACCTTCCAACGGCGATACTCCTTAGCATCTTCCAGGCCTCCACTGAACATCTTGAATCCAGTGGTATCCGCAGAACTAGCCATGGCGCTCATGCCTTGCGATCCGGCGACGGGTTCCTACCCTACCGGAGCCCTGAAAATCAGGGCCCCGCTACCAATATCAAAATCGCAACCGGGCGGTTCCTACCACCAGCGATCGGGCGCGCCGCCCCTTTTTGCGCTCATGGATGCTTGATCCGAATGGCGTTCCATGTGAACGAACGGTGCTCGAGCTCATGCCTTGCAATTTAACACATATATACCGTATATATATGTGGAATAATTGCCATTGGAGCTGAATGTTTTGAATGCAACCCACTTATAGATAGATGGATTGGTTGATTGATTGATTGATTCATTGGTTGTTTGCATTGAATTGAATTGAGTTGCATTGATTTGAACTGAACTGATTTGACTTGGTTTGTTGATTGATTGCATGATTGATTTACTGATATATTGATATAAGTTGAGATATATGTACACAATCATTTTTGGTGTTCTTCGCATTGTTGAAGGAGAAATGAAAACGATATTTCATCCATCCAATCCCTTGTAAATCCTTTTGGAATGGTAATTTGTTCTCAACCCTGGTTTCCTCATTACTTTTTTGCTCCACAATGCAGTCGTGCCCAGTTATTGAGCTGTCAATTCTAACATCATGGCTGACAGCATAGGAATGAGTGAACCATGAAACTGCATGAACTGCCTCAAACATCATTTGATGTTTTTTCCTGCATGTGAGAAACATGCATATCAGAGCAACTGGATGTGAAGAGAGTTCTGGAGTGTAGAGGTTGTTGCACCTTGGGATCCACAAAGAAACAAAGAAACAGCATGAAAGTTTACATAAGATGATCTTTGGACAAAATGCTTCCCTGTCACCGGATGCTGCGGCTCTTGGCGCTGCATGGCTTCGGCGGCACTTTCGGTGCGCTGGCGCCACGGGACCTGGCGCGATTGGCAGCGCCCATGGGTGCCAAGGCGCCGGACAAGCTTTATTTTCGATTGTGTGCTTGTGTACTCTTAGCACTGGGTGTCAATCGACTGGGTAGACGGCAAAAAGGCAATTGACGAAGGACAACATTACCAAATCTCTGTGACATTCCCACTGGCCTGAAACCCGGAAGCGACACTGCTTTTTGCTTCTCGAGCCTTCCTTGAGCCGGCGGATCTTGACAAGGTCTGCCATTTCAGCTCTTGCGTCTTATGACCCCATCAGGGTTCCCCCTCGCGCGTGGCAGAAGTATAAATTGAACAGCGTCACATGGCACTACTGCGACAGCAACACTGACACGAACTATGCTAATACGACCCTGCGCACTGCGCACCACATCCAGGGATGGTCACTCCACTGCACTCTGCTGCACCGGTCGTTCCTCTAGTCGTTGTACCTCCCGAGGAGATCATCTGCCTGATCGCCCCCAACCGCCATGCCTCTGGCATCCCTGCTTGGTTCTCTGGCGACCAGTCACCAGCAGGTCGCTACAACGGCTGGAGCCTCACAGAACAGCGTTGGGCGGAATTGGCAGAGTCCACGGCGTGCGCAACCGGGCAGCGGCCACCGCCCTTGGTGCCAGTAGCTTGGATTTGCTCAGTTTATTTACAAGGCATTGGATACGATATATATATATATATACATACACAGTATATGTAGTATGTAATATGTATATCAGAATAAACATATATATATATTATATATATACTATAGTATGAGCTTTGTAAGGTCAAGCTTTATAGTGCCCCCAAAATCGGTCGAGCTGATACATTTGGAAGGTATCACTTTCTATTGAATTGGATGTTCGCTTCACCATGCGTCAAAGTCATTCATTCTGAGGAGGGTCGAGTCTGGGCGGATAGGCAAACTGCGAACTCTTGGTGTTGTTATTGTTGTGACAGAAGTCCTGGTTGGTTCCTACTGCTTCAGCGAGAATTGGGAATTGGTGGGAACCCTTTCTGCAAAGTGTAATGATGGGAATTACCTCGCTTCGCCAATTGTCAGCTTCATCTATAGACCTGCAGTTGCTTATGGAACGCTTACGTACGCATCATGAACAACAACCGTAGTTCAACGGCGATTTCCTTGGATCTTAGCCCTTCATGTCATGTTCTGCCAAACAAGCAAACCCATCAAACTGCCAACAGACCAACCAACAAGATCGCTTTCCATCTAATTATATATATATAATTTTCCAGGGTTGCTTGCTGATGCTTGTCGTCACCACTCAGCACCTCCCTGCCAACTACCTTTCAGATCACTGAGGAGGATCTGCCACCGGCTGATCCCTGGGCAGATTGGAGCGATGAAGGCTTCCATGAGAGTTGGAGATGCTTGGAGGAGGAGTGGCGGCGTGGCAACTACGATGGGCTAATTGGTTTCCTGATCTGGATTACACTACATCATACATTGCGCTAAATCATATCATCGCGAATCATCGCTGTATGTTTGCACTTGGCTCACCCAACCATGTCACTGACTTGAATCATCCCGTGCGACATGTTCAGGGACACCCAATGAGCAGTTGTATGCAGGGACACCCCACTACCTGACAGCGGTTGGGTAAAATGGGGCGGGGCTAGCTCTCCTGGGTCGCTGATATCAGCATTCTCGCGGCTCTCAAAACCCAATGCATCCTCCTCCAGGATAGTGAGCTGCCTGCAACCCTCCCTCTGCTCTTTTGCATAAGTCTCCAATTAATCAATAGAGTTCATCATCCGTGTCTATAAGCTATAAGCTTTTCCAATCCGTCCTTGTCCTTGTCTCGTGTTTTCCTTCCAAGGCTTCTCCCAGGGCGCTTTGATGTCCGTCCTCTTCACCCAGCTCCTCAGCAAAAGACGCGACACCGCGGGCGAAGCCGCCTCGCCGCCAAAGCTTTTGATCCTTTGCGGTGGCTTTGCAGCACCCTCGCCGCCGGCGTGCCGTGGAGCTTGGCCGCCACGCGAGCGCCTGAAGGCGTCCTGGGTGTCTTTGGAGGTGAAGATGTGAGCATAGTGGGAGAGTATGTTAAATGGAACGTAATATATTCAGACTTTTGCGATGCAAATCCCTGAAGGTCCAAAAGCGTCCCAAATTGCCAAATAGTACTGAGGTTCTCCATATCGCTTGTGCCGAACTCATTTCGCTTGAACGTGTCATGCATTTGGGAAGGTATAGTTATGTGATGCTGTGTGTCATTGGTCGTGATCACGATCACATCAATGTGGCTGTGGGTCATGCAGCCTTGACTCCAGCAATGACTTCACTGCCTAAAGATGAACAGAACTGTTGGAGGTGTTCACATGTCCCATGACGACTTTGGATCTTCAGGTTTTAACCATGCCCATGTAAGTACTGTATCCTAATCCTAAGGAAATCTATGCATGAATATGGCGCAATTGTTGAGATCCTCAAGAACCCTGACAGAGCCTATTTACTTGGAAATCCCACGAAAAATCCACAGGAGAAGTGTGAAAAGCTTACTTTGAAGTCGGGTGTTGATCGACAGTTCCTTCAGTATTGCAACTGCTTACACCTGGCATGCTCAGCGACCATGGTGGCGGGCTTTCACATGAAGGCTGTATCCTCATTGTACAGACTGGACGGCTTGGCACAGGTGCCGTCCTTCCATCTGTGGGGACGCGACGATCCCATCGTGGCGAACCTGCGTTCAAGGGAGCTGGCTGATCTCTTTCATCAGCCTTGTTTCTACGTGTCTGGGCGCATGGAAGACTGGGAGTTAGAGGTGAAAGGTAGAGGGCTTGGGACGAAGTGCTGCGGAGTCAAGTGAAGTTTGAGTTTCAAGGTCTCTGAGAGACTTACATGTTCCTTTTGAAGATGTTGATTTGCCTGGTTGGCCAATGCGGTATTTACACTCCTCCCAACACAATGGGTTACGATTACTTCGAACCCCGACCCCTCAAGAAAAAGTGGGTGTGCTACGTGCAAGAAGAGCCATCCATTAAAAACATCAATGTCTCATCTAATCAACAATAGAGTCCGTAAGCAAAATAGAGGACGGAAGAAGACTGCATAAATCCCAATTCAAACAGAGGATAGCAACCTCTTGGGCCGAAGCAAACGGTCAAAGGCCAGCTACGTTCGTGGCGCCACACCTAGGAGCACCAGCTCGTTGCGCCCAACGACCACAAGCTGGGGAGCCACACCTTTCCGTGGCCTGATGGTGATACAGAAGCCTTCAAGGCCTTGAGAAGCTTCATGGTGACTCGGCCAACGTGACACGACATCCGGCACGCAACGTCACGGCGGTGGATTGGTCGTGGTTTGCCTTTGAGCAATTCGGAGGACGCAGAACCTTGGCATCATGGATCGTTTGTGAAAGAGAACTGTTTTTTCCATCCCCAAAATGGCCAGACCGGGAAGGAAGGTTGCCACTTCCCGCTGACCTGGGATAGATGATCCAATTTCTGTGGTATGAACTAGTCTCCCAAAAGCTGGTGTTGAAGCGCAACCACAATACACTCCCTCAAACACACAACTCCAACACGCCAGAGCAAACAGTATTTGTTGGTTGCTGGGTTGAAACCGTTTGGCCGATGCTGATGCCTAGGCGAAGGTGCTTTCGCCGGTGGCCAAAAAGGATCTCCAGCCTGTCCTGTTCGGCTTTGGTCTTAAAGCCTATAGATTTCAAAGTGTCTTCAAACATAGTCGGGCAGTACAGGTAACATAGATGAGGATTGAAGACATGGAACTTCATGAAACTCTTGGCTTTCAGACGAGGACCAAAAGTCACAAAATGCAGGACTTACAAACAAGGGCATGGTTGACAGATTGTATCCTGCAGGTTATTTACCAGGCTACCGCCTGCAGCCGCCGACCCCCAAGGGATAGAACCTTAGCGCTAGCCTTGCTCTAGCCAGAGAGGTGGGGTGAGGCGTGACTGTCGATGTTAGCCTTAAGCCTTAGCCTTAGCCTTAGCCTAGCCATAGACTTAGCCTTAGTCATAGACTTAGCCTTAGACTTAGACTTAGACCTTACTTTTTTACCTTTCCGGACCCGGGGTTTGTTTGTAGGATTTCCCAGGTATGCGTAGAAAATTGCGAACCTATTTTCTTCCATTGTTGTAGAATTTTCTAGGACTTCCTCTTGTGTTTAGGTTCCCAGATTTCTCCAAAAATATCCAAAAATTGATTAATCTATTGTTAACCCCCAAGGGATAGAACCTTAGCGCTAGCCTTGCTCCAGGCAGAGAGGTGGGGTGAGGCGTGACTGTCGATGTTAGCCTTAACCTTAGCCTAGCCGTAGTGTTAGACTTAGCCTTAGCCTTAGACCGCCCCCGGGTAGGAGTTCCCCATTTTTTCCACGGTTGTAGAATTATCTAGCATGTCCGCTTGCATGTAGGTTCCCTGATTTGCTCAAAAATTGATGAACTTACTGGAATTTTCCCAGGAATGCGCTAGGCTTTGTCTAGATTTTGCGCTGGACGAGGTCCAGCCAGTGCCCGTGGTAACGTGAAAGGCCCCGGTAAGATTTTCGCATGCCTGTCAGGTGCCCGTGTCCGCGCCATGTGGCGTGTTGGTTCTAGGACGGAGCAGCGCAAACGGAAGCTCGGGGAGGTGATGGCGAGCTTCTCGCGCCAGCCAGGGAAGAGACCGTAGCCGGCACGCGCGCGTGGCGGAATGTCGGCAGTGCGGGAGGCCGGGGAGGGAGGGGGGGACGGAAGGGTGTGGAAGCGGGTGGTTCCACGGTAGGAGGAAGGACGTTGCCGTGGATGTGGGGAGGGTAGGGTTTCCTGGAGCACCCCTTGAGCCAAATGCAGGAGTCGAGAAGAGCCCCGTCACCCAAGTTGTCGGGTGAGAGGCAGCCGGTGTTTGCGTTGTGCGTTTCCTGCGGGAGAAGGGCGCTGCCCATGGTGTTTGCTAGGTCGCGTCAGCCAGCGAGGGCGTTGCCCATGTATGTCCCCTTGTGCAGGCCACGGAAAACTGCTCGGTGTAGTTGTCGTGAGCGGAAAACGCCGGCGCGCAGTGTTTTGGGAGGCTGGCGGAAGCCGACGGCTGCTGGAGCTGGACGAGGCGCGCAAGGGATGTGTAGTGGAGTGTGGAGTGAAGCTAGGGAATGCGAGCGCCGGGGTGCGAGGAGCGGGTTTAGCGCGGGCGGAGCGTGAGTTGGGCGTTGCCGGCAGCACTTTTGGCTGGAGAAGTGTGGTTGTGATGGTTGCTGATGGTCCAGGGGCAGCTCGCGGGAAGGGACTGGACCAGTGGTCGAACCTTGGAGGACCAGTTGCTACAGGGAAAGCTGTGGGCTGAGGACTCTGTGGATCTGGTCTCGGAGGGCAGGTGGCAGTTGTTTGGGGTGGCTCTATGTGTGTCGTGGGGCACTGATGCTGCTGCATGGCCGAGAATGGAGGGATTTGCGCGAGAGCAGCCGCAGACGCCTATTCGCGCGCCCTGGAAGGAATTGACGAGGACCGAGGCGAGCACATTTCTGACACTGGGTGGTACAGCGTCCAGGGTGCTGTACACGGCCCTGTTCAGCGCCGGATACACTTTGGATATTGACAACCCCATCAACACCCCTGCAAGCTTGGAGAACTGCATTGGATGCGTCCAAAATTGGCAAAATACGCACTGGGTGGCCTATATAATGGTTGGGGAAGAAATTTTTCTCTGTGATTCCTTGAAGCCGCGGCCTGAGAAAATATCCGCAGCCGCGCTGGCAGCTACGCTGCCGCACTGCCCGACGTACGCCATCCGTGCATAGCTGCTCCTGGAAGCCCCCCGGACCACGTCGTCTCGCGCGACGCAGTCGCCAAAGAAAACGCCTGCGAGAAAAAGACCACGGAAGGGAGCTGCTGGGCTAGCCGTGCGTGGGTGGATCGCGGGTTTTTTTGCCCCAGATTGACCATCGGACGTCATCTCTTGCATGAACCCCGTGATGCGGAGCCCTCCTCCCCATAAAGGATATCATTGCCCAAGAATTTAGACCCAACCCTTCACCACCAAAGCAGGTACCCAAAAAGTCGACTTTTTGGGTACCTCCTAGGTTTACCATCGGACGTCGTCTCTTGCATGAACCCCGTAATGCTGAACCCTCGTCCCCATAAATGACCCAACCCACGCGTTGGGATAGGGGATGGCTTATTTAATTATTCCAGGGGACCTGTGGGATAGCGGAATAATTTTTTTGGAATAATTTTGGTGGATTAATATTTTATCAAAGGGCTAGTCATAGGGCCCCCTGGAATAATTTTCAAGAATACTCAAGTTGCGACGTTTGATGATCTGAAGTCAGCAGCTGGACGCGAGTGAGAGGCTCAAACAAGAAACATCAAGAAACAACAAATATATATAAGGATATATAAGGAATACAAGAAGCTAGCAATCGCTGGCCATGTACAAAACCAAGGAAAACATAGGAAAACCAATGTTCAGATTTAGATTTTAGATTGGCAGCGTTTTGCAGCCATGTCGAAGTCTTTCACAATATGGGAAGAGTTCATCAGAACGGTTCATCAGAATGAGTCAGATTATGTCAGATTGCTCTTGCTGTGTGAGTCGCTGTGTTGATATGTTTTTTATATGAAGATATAGAGAAAGCTAAAAAATATTCCTGGAACTCAACCAGTTACCAGAATAATTTTTGAAAACTAACTCAAGGGGGGTCAGAATAATTTTAAATTATTCCTAGGGTCTTTCACAGGGGGGCCCTTAAGCCCTCCCCTATGCGTTGGGTTCTGCGGCCTGTGGGGCCGCAGGGCGCTGCCCATGGTCTAGGGTACATTCAAGTGCCACAAGTGTCGGCGCCCGGACTTGTGCTGAATCGATCGGTTTCTCCCG